AATTTTTATAATTTATATTTAATAGTAAAATACATATTTTGATAATTAAGGTTGTATAAATTATTATGTATAATTTTTTATGTATATTTAAACAAATTAACAAATTAATAACATGACAATCTATTTTATTTGTGTAACTTTAAATACAATGGTAAATAATATATTTAAAATTTTTATTAAAAATTATAAATTTAATATAGTTTAATGGATTGACACTATTAAATATTATAATTTTTAACAAAAAAATATTTGATATAACTTCTTATATATTACAATTAAATTAATCAATAACATCATACTTACATTTTTTTTAATTTTTTTTCAATACTTACATTTTATCCTTAATTTAAGAAACCTTTGGTCTTCTCCATCGAAGATGCACATCAACCTATAAGTTTTGAGGTCCATGGGCCCAGAAAACTTTTGATGTAGCCAGAAACTTTTCTCTTTCGACCAAAACAAAAACGATAACTTTTTCTTTTTTCCACTTTCGTGTGCAATCCAAATAACATAAAATTTCTTTTCTCACCCATCTACCACCTCTTATTCTCTCGTCAATTATTTTAAATTTAGTAAAATTTAATTTTAACAAAATAAATTTAAGATTATTATATTTAGTTATAAAATATATTTAAATTAATTTATATTGTGTATTATATAAAAATATAAATTTATTAAAAAAAATAGAGAAATAATTTTATAATTTTTCAACAATTTAATCTAACTGTTCTTAAAATGTTGAAGATAAGAAGGGGATAAGCATGCAGTACAGTTTCCTTTCTGCCTAAATTTGAAGACTCTTCTTTTGGTCTAAGAAGACCTTGGCAGCTGTAGGTCATGTTGATGTCGTAAATACCAGTACTAAGAAAATTGTATAAGTTGGGTGTACTTACAAAGTCTTGTTGAACTTATTTTAGTTAATATTTTTTTATAGATATTAAAATTGAAAATTTTAATAATTAAATTAACGGTTTCTCTTCTAATAAGATTAAGACCATAAATTATATATATGTTAAAAACTATTTAATATTTATTTATAAAATTTATCTTATTTTTTAGTAAAAAGAATATAAGTAATTATCAAACAAATTTAAATTTAAGTACAGGTTCACAACAAATTTACAAATATAAGTGCTAAGATATCCCTATCTATATTTGCATATATAGTATATTTATTAACTTTACAATTAGAATTTGAATGATTTATAAATAAGTTTTTAATTAGGTTAAATAATATTTTATTTTCAATTTTATAATTAAGAATTAAATCATTTTTAAATATATTAATTAAGTTACACGTTATACTTTTTATTAAAATAAATAATCATTATTGTTAGTATTATAATAACATTTTTTATTTTAACAATTTATTAAAAAATGCATTGATAAATTATATTAACTAAAATGAAAAAGTAATGAGTTTGAATATAAATATATTATATAGTATAAGTATTAAAGTTATTTTATATATACAAGCATGAGCTTGAATATGCATATTAAAAAAAAACGTAAGTTTAAGAAAGAATATTTCAGTATCCTAGTTACAGCATTATGTTGGGGTAAGGCTCATCACACTCAACGTTGATTTTTTTATAATATTCATTAATATTAAAAGATCATGCTATGAATTTAAAATTCAAGATATATTAGACAAGTTTAAATATTATCATGTGAGATTTATCAAATTTTATTTTATTTTAAAAATTTCTTTTATAATCTTTAATCATGGTGATACTAGTCATTGACATGCAAATATTATAATTAACGAAAGTGGACAGTAAATTATGGTATTTGCTAATAAAGTTGCGTAAAACAGTTGTACCTTGACTAATAATTGTCACTTTAGACCTAATGGTAAACACTCAATCTAATCATGACATTAAAACCAGTGTATGATAGTTACCATTTTTCATATGCTGCTAATTACTGCTTGTAAAACTTACATTTGAGTTCTTAAATCCATGACAAGTATCAAAGGAGTCTTGTCAAGTAAATGGGATTGCTTCTCTACAAATCAACAAACTATAATTCTAGGTGTGAGATTTTATATTATTTGTCACAATCTAAGTGCGAGATTGATACTATATAATCATTAACTTATTATAGTCATAGATACATCAATACAGCATGGAATTGCGCATTAATGAGTAGTTTGTGAAACTACACTGACTTAGGTGTGAGCAACAGCAACGTCACTCCCATGCATGCGTTTCATCAATATAGACAAACTATTTTTTATCAGAGATTTCAACTTTGACATTTTGATAAGAATTTATTTGTTAAAAAACTAAATTGATAAGGAATGTGCTTTTCATCAAACAATTTCTCTTGTTTATCTTTTCATCAAGAACTTGCTCCACTTTTAAAGGGCATTTAACTATCAAATATTGCTCTCCCTTACGTAGAAAGAGAAGGAAAATAATTTAAGAGGTTAATTTTTTCAATCATAATCGACAATTTTTTCTATTTGAATACTGGGGACCCAAATCCATAATATTTCTCTTTTTGGTCAATCGAATTCATAATATTCTGGTCTTCGAAAATAGAAAGGCAGCCCAATTGTAGCCCATGCAGACAACCTCTACTATAACTTGACTTCTGAGTTTTTTATATGTACAATCTTCTAATCAGATGTTCTTATTTCATTATTATAACTGCTTAATTAGAATAAAACAAAGTATAATAACAATATTTTAACTTAATTATGTGTCAAAAAAATATATTTTGTTTTGCAGAAAATATATTTTTAAATTCTAAAACAAAAAGAAGCTGCTTTGATTTATAGTTTCAAAAGGACATGGAAAATATAGTTAGTTAGACAAAGCCTTAAAAAAAACAAAAAGAAAATCAAGAAACTTGGAACCATTGGGTACTTAACTATGAACTGTCACCAAACAAGCATCCATGAAGAGATACGAAATAGTATAATGGAAGGTAAAAATATAAAATAATAATGACTTTTGATGAGTGGAACAGCAGATTGACTTTTTACAGTATAATAAATCTAATGGGTCGCATTCATGTAGAAATTCTTGGGATTTTCTTGTCTTGTGTTGTAGCAATGTTAGGTAAATAGGTATCAAAAGGGCATGTGCTGGGTCCCCTATGTTGAGCCATGCTCAAAGTTGAATAGTCACCACTTCTTCACCCATATTAATTGCCACCATTCTCTGAGTTTCTCATCTTGCAACTCTGTCTGTAACCATCAGCGCCTGTTTTCTCCCATCAAAACACCAAACTGAAAGCATTGCATTTATATTACATGCACGCTTGCAGAATGATCAATGTAATGCAAAACCAGTTTTGTTGAAAATGACACTTTGGTTAGAGTTCCTTAGACATGGATTTCAATCCTTACAAGATCAAGTTAGGCATAATAGTCTATTGAAAAAAATTCTTTTTAAATCTTAATAAAATTAGAGTTTAATTTTTAATCTTTAGTTAAATGTAAGCATAATACTCTAGCTTCAACAAAATTGATTCAAGTAGAAAATATCTGTAGTCTAAATAAAAAGGTAATTGTTATACAAATTAATAATTTTTAATGTTAAATGAATATTTGATTGAATGATAAATTTTAATTAAATCCATAAAATAAAGAATAAATTACAATTTATTATATCTAATTTCCCAGAAAAGATAAGGCAGTAACCATGGTGAAACAAGAAGAACAAATGGTGACATTGAAACCCAAGTTTCCTTGTGGGGAACACAATCTGGGGAACGCCAACAAGGAGAGATGGGGGGCACATTCAATTTTCCTCTCTTACTGACATTTGTACATTGTTCAATGCCCTAAGAACAATTTAGAAAACCAACTTTGAACAAGAGAGCCCAGATTTGCCAGAGCTTTGAAATGGACCCAACCCCATAATAATAGCTCTCTTTAAACATGAGGTCCATTAAAAGCTGTGTACGTCCATTTGCACCACTCTGCCCACATTACATACATAGTTAGACACACACACCCTACAGCTACAGCCCTATTAGCCTATTAGCCTAACCTTCTGTAATCCTCCACAGTTCATTTTCAAACTATTAAAGTCATAACTGCCATGCATTGGAAATCAAAAAGTGGAAATGCCAAACCGCCCCTCCAAATTCTCTGTTTGCTCTCTGCCAATTCATGTTTTCATGTTAAATTTAATGTAACAATGTTATACTATTAAAATTTTGTGTCTATGTATATTCATGGACATTAAATAAGTGAGGTCATTTAATATTTTATTAAGAGAAAGGTAAGCATAAAACTATTCACAGAAATTTGAACTGTAAAATAGAACTACTATCCATAAATTTCAACTGGCCTTAAAACCCGGCAAGGGAAAGAAAAATTAACATTGCAAATGATTCTTCTTGTCTGGGTGCAGTTGAAAGGTAAGATTGCCCTTCTATGGTACTAGAAGACACCAATCATCAGCTGAAGGCTATCCCATTTTTCGCTATTATTATTATAATTTATTTATTATGCAGCTAAATTGTTTAGCATGCAAAGATTATTTCAAACTAGGAATAATATTGAGGACTAGACAACAAAACAATCCACAGTTCAAGTGGTTTCTTATTATTGAGTAGTACTACTTATACAGCTTAGAGTCCCCATTATGCATTATATTTTCCACCAGTGGTACAATTGTACAGAATTGTCTGTGAAAAGTTGTGCAATTAGCTTTAGCATTATTCTCTTATATTCCATTGTAGAGGGACCCTCATGGTTTCTTGTTAACCATGGCAAGGCCACTATTTGGCTGCCAAAAATTGAGAATAAAAATCATGCAACCTCAAACACAAAAACTTTTGCCGGTCCTGCTGCAAGGACAAAAGGAAACTAGGAAGTGCAAATAATATTACACACATAATAAAGAAACAAATTAAATGAGGTGCAGTGTCCAAGTTAAAGTAACTAACTTCTTGGCCAATTAGCATGCTGACAAGACTATTGAGATTATGTTAGAACAAAATACAAAAAAAACAACATACAAGTTGCTGTGACACCTAAAAGGTTAAAGCACAAATTGGAACTCTCCTTGATTAAAGAGCTATATAAGAATTAAAAATAGACCCGTAATCAATATTTCATCCAGAAAAGTCCACCAGAGGCCATTAATAGGACAGCTAGAAAATCCCGTAGAGGCTATGAAATGGGAAGTATCATTCCTATCCTCATTGATCAGCTCAGTTTTTGTATTAGGTTCTAACAAAGTGACCTCTTTCTGGCATGGTTTTACTCCATATGGAACACTGCTGGTTGATATTACTCTAACTGAGTAGCAAAGGTTGGGGTTGTTCCATGCCCCAAAACGCCTTCCCATCTTGCCAAAAAACTCTTTGGAGAATTTAAGCACTCCTGTGAGATTGTTTCCACTTAGGTAAAGTGCATTGAGACAAGGAAGAGTTTCCAGCTTCGGTGGCAGGTTGCCAGTGAGGTTGTTATCACTAAGTCCCAAAAATCTCAACCTCTTTAATTCTGAAATAGACTCAGGAATTTCCCCTGTCAAGCCCATGCTAGAGAGTTCCAAAATGACCAAGTTCTTAAGGTTTTCCCACTTTAGGGCCCTGATGTCTCCTCCTAATGGATTGTTAGACAAAACCATTTCCTCTAAGGAATGCATCTCTTGAAAAGACAAGGTCAACCCACCAGTGAATCGGTTATTTCTTAGGTCCATTAGGGTCAGGTTCTTAAGATTTGCAAATTCATTTGGAAGATTTCCTTCAAGGTTGTTGTGGCTTACATCCAGCTTCAATGCTGAGATTAAGCTTCCAAGTGTCAAAGGCAAAGTCCCAGATAATGAATTTCTACTTAAATCAAAGATTAACAACTCATTTAGCCCACCAAAAACATCTGGAATCCTCCCAGTAAAATAGTTTCCAGCAAGAACAAGCTTCTTCAACTTGGTGAGATTGCCAAGTTCTGGTGGTATTTCACCAGTTACACCATTTTCTAATAGTACTAGTGATTGGAGGTTCTTGAGGACACCAAAACTTGAGGGCATGTTTCCAATGAGACCCGGGTTTGATCTGAACTCCAGTGATTCTAAACTGTCAACCAGGTTCTCCCAGTTTCCAGCGGGGATGGTGATTGGAAATCTATTTTCTGATTGAAAACAATTGAAGAAGGATAGAGACTTTAGGTGCTTGAGCTCAAATAACTGTGGTCTAAATTCCAAATTTTGAGCACAACTCAGAGAATTGTCTTGGATGGGTCCAATGTTCAAGACAGTAACATACCAAAATCCATCAAAAAGATCACAAGAGACCCCCTGCAGTTGAAAACAGAATTAAACAAATAATTGATCACGATGTTCTAGAAAATTCTTAAATTTAGTATTGAATTACAAAGAGCTCTAATTTCATTTATAAAATTGAGTCCAAAGCCTCATTATGAATCTAATAATAATGAGCGAAAATCTTGTAGAGTAAAAAAATAATAGTGATTGTGTTCAAAGTTTCGCTGATGATTGTAAAAAAGATTTTGCAGGTCATTAACCAAAGGGAAACTACATCCTAGAAACTATACTATTCCTTCTGACACTCATGAAGAAATAATGGCCTTACAAAGCTTTGACCATAAACAAATTTGAACTGTTCAAGTCTAATCTCTAGCACAGTATAAAGGTCGTTGCTTAGACAATTTACACGTATGATGGTACAGCAAGGTATCTAGTAAAAGGTACCTGAATAGGAGTCCAACCACAAGGATCTGGATAGAGATCTGAGCCATTCCATGAATTACCAACAAAGCCTTGAATGGTAGAGTATAGAGCTTCTTGCTCTGCTATCTCCATTGGAGCTATATCAAGGTCTAGTTGTCCATAGCATCTTGCACTCAGAGAGAGGATGAACAAGACAAATATGGCATGACTAATAGCCTTGATGCTCTTCATGATGTTGTTGAGTCAAATATGAATATAAGGCACGAGAAATTCAGGATAGATGAAGCAAAATTAATAAAAGCAAACGACCACAAGTAGGAGGTGCTTGGCTTGAACTCAAGTGCATCTTATGGTTGGTGTCTTACATGTGTTTTTTCTCTTTTTAGGAAAAAAAGAAGACGACAATCTTCAACTAAATTATAGCAAAAGGTGCAGATAAAGAAGAAGGGTGAAGTTCAAACAGATGATTTAATCACTCAACAATGAAGTGGATATCAAGATAGATACCCCAACATGGGCCCTTACAGAAAATTACTGGTGTTTTGGAAGAACACAGATTGTAGTATCAAGAAAGAAAGAAACAAGATCCTGAATGTATGCTCAAACTTAGTTGGATAATGGGAATGGAGGAAAGACAAAAGCTGAGCAAGAAACCTGACCTCTTTCTTCCTTGTGTTTATGGAAAAACTAAGGAAGTATATATAAGAAAGAACACAATATCTTAGCACAGTTCTCGAAGCTCAAAGTCATAATAACATTGGCTTTAATATGATCAGAGCAGAAGCAACTGTGAGGCCTATAAAATGAAAGCCAAAAAACACTCTTTCCTTTTTATGCAGCTATGCTATGCAATTTGCACACCCTATGTCATTGTCTTATTGAATATTTATTATTATTATTATCATTATCATTATCATTATCATTATATTATTAGATGATAATTGTGGAAATTATGCAAGAGTTCTAGTCCCAGCTTTCATAGGCTATTAAAAGTGTTATTGGTAGTTGAAGGAAATAAAGGATGCAGATAAAGGGGGTTAAAGTTGAGGGATTAGTTAAAAGGCTTGAAGGAGGGTTGAGTATGCATAATAGGGGACCATTGTCCATGCAAAAGGAAGAGCTGCATGTAAAAGCATGCAAGACAAATAAGGTTTTTATCCGTTATTGCCTCGTTGTTTTGTGTTTTTAGCTTGTGGGTATTTCACAACCCCATTCAAACTAAAAGGACAAGATATCACAGTGGCTTTGAAGGTGCAGTTAATCACATTGCTACATAACAGTTAGCTCCAGAATTGGACCATACCTGTACCCCCCCCAACCCCGTTCGGTCTATTTTTTCTCCTCAAAATTTGTAGCCACCGTATCAAGTCCATGTCTGTTTTCAATTTAAGTCTTTGAAAGTATGGTTTGGATTAACTAAAGTTGCCACTTTGATTTGCTATAAAATTTTATTTTCTAAACTTATGTAGGTTAAATGGTTTATATAAAAATAACTTCTGTTATCCCCTCGAGTCAGCTTAGTTAAGTTACAACAAAACATAAATTATAAGGTTATGGACTCAGTCTCCATATTGCATCTTATTCCTTTCTTGTAATATTATCCTTATCTTTTCTCTCATTTATTTTATTAAGGTCTACTATGACTCTCTGAGTCTCTTTTTAGGAAAAAAAGAAAAGGTATTACTATGAATTCAAGTCTCATATAATATATGTAATTATTAAACTAAATATACATATCTCATTCATATTTGTTCGGTTGACTTGGTAAAAGGGAATGGCTTGAATGATGGAATCAAATTTTAACTTTCTATGGAATTTATTTTCTGTAAATTGACCCCATTTGGCTTCCATTTTTGTCAGGATTAGCTACATTCAACCAGCTTAAAATGATGTCATTTTGTCAAGCTCAGTCTGAACAAATAATTGAAGTTGTAATACGCCAAATCAACCCATTCCCACATACTTAATATATCATCTCATTTTTTATTTTTCTAATTAATATCTCCGTGTTCAATTTTTCTCACGACTCTTATATGACATGAAATATATATATATATATATATATATATATATATATATATATATATATTTGTCGGGTATTGCTTTAGACATAGTTCATTCACATCGGAACACTTAGTAATTTGTCATCGATTTACTAAAATATAATTCTTTATAAATATTTGGATTATGTGAAGCTAACTTTCGGAATTGTAATATGAACAAAAAAGGGAAAATAAAAATACTAGTACATTAGGATAAGGTCTTTCTAAAATAATTTTTTTAAAGTTAAAATATATTTATTTTTTCTTTATTGGATCGCGTGGGACCCAATAAAAACTTTGGAGTAAAATATACTGCTAAAAAAAATTAAGTGCAAACAATGCTAAATCAAAAAAGACAATCTCTTTGATGGAACTTTTTCAATGAATTCATTGCTTGCAATTTAAGAAATTAAAGTTTTAACGTATATCAGTATCGTGTACATTGCCACGGAATTCTTAGTTGTCACAATAACTATCATGAACTGTCCATCCGTTTAAAAGCTGTAAATTAATGCAGCAATTCTAATATATTTTCTCTTTTGACAAGAATTGCTCAAAATAACTTTTTTTCTTCAGCTCGTGATAAAAAAAATGAAAAATATATACAATGTAACTATGTAACCCTTTATTATTTTTCGAAAGTTTTAGACCTTTTTCGAGTTTTATGAATTGAATAAAAACATGTTTAAGAAAATAATGATTGTTGACAAAGAAAAGTTAATGACAGAGATTTTAAAAAATATATACAATGACAAAATAGTTTTTTAGGGACTTCCTTTTTATTTTCTATAAATTTTACCCAATCTGACCATCCTCCCTTAAGTTCCTTTGTTTTTTTTCCCATTATTTTAGTTGACATGAAGTGATTTTTGTACGTAAATTGGGCACATGTAATTTGCATAGATAGCATTACAAAATGTACTAAAGTTCTATACATACAGAAAAGAAGCCACAGTAAACATGGTTTTGGAACAAAGTAACCATTGGTCCATAAAAATTAACTACCTAGTCACCCATCTCTGTGAAAATGAAATTTAATGAGAACGGGAAAGATGATAATAACTAGGGGAACTGAAGCACATGTAAGTAGCAGTTATTGAGGAAAAAGAGGAGAAGATCCAAGAGAAAAAGGGGTATAGTAGATTTAAGAGGAAGGACCACACTAAATTAGGGGATGGGAAAGATAATGAAATAATAAAAGGCTAAGGATGTGTAGCCAAAGGTAACACCTTATATTGATGAACTAATATAGCTTTCGATAAGTCTTTTTCTGTCCCACTTTCTTCCCTACAAGCTGCCCTTGTCTACCACTGGTATATCTCTAAGGATGAGCTATACTTAGGATCACACACTCCTTTTCCTACTTATGCCCCTCCAAATATTAAGAAAATCAAATGTTGTTAATTTGATTAAATGCACATTAACATATTCTCTTTTCATAGTTTTAATTATTAATTAACATTTATTAAAAATTTACAAAAATATGACAGAAAACATTAAATTGGGCAAGTTAAAATTTTGATTAAACAATTTAAAATTATCAATTTGTTTTTTATCATGATTTTTAATGTATTTTAAAGCAAAAATTAATTAAAATTATTTATTAATTAAAAATTTTAAAACATTGTCGAATTGCTTAGCAGGATCTATAAAAAAAAAAGAAAAAAAAAGTCTTATCAATTAGTGTCTTAACGAAATTATTTAAAGAATCAACTCACCTTTATATTACAATTATTAAATAAGAATATTTTTAAGAGTTACTCATATTTTCATTAAATCACTTTTTTATTCAATGTTTAATTTTATTTGTCTTATTTATCCTCAACTTCACCCATAAAAGTTGCATATTTAATCAAGTACTAATTATTAACATAAACGTGTTTCAGTTCACAAAGATTTAGCTTTATTGAAACCACGCTCCCAAGCAAGAACTAGGCAAGTTTCTTAGTCCAAATCTGCTTTAATAATCATTATATTAAACTTGAATGCTAACCCACTCCTTTCAAATTGCATGTGTGTGTTTCCTGATCCCTATTGACTAACTATGATACATTTCTTTGCTCGCATTTAAACTTCTTTAATTGATGCAAAATAAATCTTAAACTCTGAGATAAGAAAATTGAACTTTGCATTAAATGCATTCTGAAAAAGTTGAGTGTTAACACATTTAAACTACTTCAACATTGATAACATGTTTCATATCTTTATTGAGTGGGTTTTCAAATCCACTCTATCATGATCTGAACATGTGTGAGGTACGGCTAATAGTAATTTTATAGTTAGGTAGATATCTTGTCTTTTTATTTTACTTTTTATTACTTACTTTTGAAAGAAAATTTTATTTTATTTATTTGACTATTTAAACCTTAAAATATTATTAATTATTTTATAAAATTGACAATAGTTTTAAATTAAATAAATTTATTAATTATATCATTAAGTATATTTATTATTTTCTGAAGTGATCACAAATAAAAATAAATAAAGAGAATATCGTATAAATATAAGACTTGGCATTATAAAATACATGAATGATTGAATTTGAAATACTATAATTTATGTATTCTTCTTATAAGACTTTTTTAGCTAAATTATACAGATGAATAAAAGTAGTTTGAGTTTATTAAAAAGCACTGAATATGTTAATTTTTCCTGTATTGATATCATTGAATTTGATTTTACTGTTGATATTTTATTCTTTTCCTTGTTAGATTTTATTTCTATTTTCACTAATTTTATATAATAAAGATAAATTAAAATTATTTTATTAAAATTAAAAAAAATATTTTATAATAAAACCTACAAATTAAAATTTAATCTCCAACGTCTTTTGAAGCCACATGTCTTTTCTTTCTAATAAGATATATATAATTTTGTTATGAAAAATGTTTGTTATTCAAATATTATTTATAAAATTAATTCAGTAGTTGATAAAATAACTCATTTAATACTTTTATTTAAAGATTTTTTTTTTTTGTCTACAAATAATTCTTCAAATTTTGTAAACTTTTAATTCTAAATAGTTTACATATTCTGTAATTCTTTTATAAAAAATTTTGAAACATCTTTCATTTTTTTTAGTTTTAGAAAATATTTATATATATATAATATAAGTTTTTAAATTAATTATATACAGTGTCATATATAATGTTAAAAATTATATGTTTAAATAAAATAATTATGTCTTTTTTGCTTGGACGTTCCCTTCTTTTCTTTAGTTGCTGATCAAACTTAATTAGCTGAACAATGTTAATTAAGTCCCTTATATCATAATAGTTCTTTGTAAAATGTATAATTAACTGAACAATGTATAATTTCAGTGTTAATTTTATGGTAACTGCAGTTGATGCATATGACCTTAATAGTCTTTTAAGGAATAATCAGGTTGAGTGAGTTGTTGCCGTGGTTGAAAAAGGTCCAAAGTTCTTCGAAATCTTCAGTTGAGGGTGTTATTAGTCTTTGAAGTTTACCTTAGATGCTTTTGATATAAAAAATTTATTGGATTATCATACTAGTTAATTGATTTTTACAATCATTAGATATTTTAATCTACTTATTGAGTAAAGGATCACTCGTTTCCCAAGAATCATACTCTGCATTAGAATAGGCAACAAATAAATACAAAAAAAATTAAAAATCAGATACCCAGAAAATAAAAACAAAATTTATATTTTCCATAAATATAATTGTGTTAAATGCTTAAAAAAATTATCATCTATTGTATTTTACTTGACTTAAATAAAATTATTTTATATATAAAAAAAAATAGTTCCCATCTTCCTATGCCTCATAAGATTGCCAAGGCCAGAGTTATCAACTTATCACTCATTTTGAAGCTATTGGGTTAATGCATGGCACATAACATGGCGGAGACATTGAATCATTGGACTCCAAGGCCCTTATGAAATGGCAATTTTAAGGCCCAAGCCATATGATCAGCTCTATCCAACTATAAATAACCCAAGTTTGAAAATACATAATCTTGGAAAGATAAAAGCAATTGGTGCAAGTAAAGAAAAATGTAACACAATGACACTAAATTGTAGATATATGTAGCAAGCATACATGGGGTCAATTCTTAATATAAACTTGGATTTTGGAATTTGTATTCATTTATGTAAATTTTGTTTATTAATTTAAAAATAAAAACTTTTCTCCCTTTATATTTTCGTCCAAAACTTTACTTCTTAACATACTTTAAACGTGCTAACTGTTCTCGATTAATCTCCTAGGTTAAAGATAGCTCCTACCTTAGTTGATCAAACTTTTAAACTCCACTCTTTCTTTTCAATCAACAGGACGCTCATGTTTGTATTAATTAGCAATGAAAAGAAATAAAAGGAACCAAAGAGTTCATCTTTCCTCCACAAAAGTTGCAACTATGAACCATTTTTATAAAAATATTAAAAAATTTTATTAAAAAAATCATTTATCACGCTTTTATAACTTAATATAATAAATACATTTTTTTTTCAATAAAAACTTACCACTTTTCAATCTTTCTTAAGGTTAAAGGTAATACAATCCATCATTTTATGATGGTAACCAAAAAGGTCACTTAGTTTGTCACTTTAATTGTTCTTGTTTTTTTATCGCCATTTAGTCTACAGTTATAATACATGTTTAGCTTTCCATCATGACACCATGACATTATGATCATGATAAGTGATTCTTAATTAATGAGATTGCATCGCCCAAGTTTAGATAAAATAACTTGAAATCAAAGGTTGGAATCAAGGATCCAATGTCAACCTAGTTTACAAAAACATGAACTAACAGAAATAGATGTTCTTATCCTTAAAACTTATCATTTTATCTCTGCTTCAATCTTCCAGATTGAGTTGCATGTTTAGAGTAAATTCTGATTTCAATTTTACTTTTCCCAAAAAGCGTTTTAGTGAAAGCTTGTTAGTGTAATAACCATTTAAAAAAATATTGATTAACATGCATAGTAGGCAACCACCATGTACACTACAGCATAAAAGGAGGCAAAATCCAATGTTTAAAGACACATTGAGTTAGCTTTGATCTCTACATGCATAATGTAAAACAAAAATAACTACTAAGCATTTGGAAATTAAATCCTGTAACAATCATTTCAAAGCTATGAAACGTAGCAATTTTTCTCAATCTTGAATCTCTCTTCTTCCTACCCTACACCGTTTCAATTAATCAGTTTTATTAATAGTTGTCGATTAAAGCCATGTCAACAATAATCAATTTTATATAAAGAATACTGCCTTACTATTACAGTATTACAATTTACAAATTATAACTTGGTTAAGCAGCCACGGTTAACAGCTACTTGTGTTGCCTATGTGCTGCTCTAGCATGTTCTCCCGAATTGTCAATACCACAAAATCAGAGAAACTGAAAATTGCTGACACTATTGTAAATATTGCTTCCTAATATCATCAATAAGCTACTCATGCTGGCTGGCATATTTCTGCGTCAGCTACTCAGGGTTTGAACTAGGATTGTTAAAATGGGTTGAACCATTTGTGGCTTTAAGAGATTTTCAGATTGGGACAGGTCAATTTAACTGTAGGCTAGAAATTAACTAGCTCAACCCAACTCTTTGTAGGTTATAGCCAATTAGACCAGCCTATTGCTTATTTAAAAAAAAAAAAACATTTTATTTATCTTAGATTTTTATAGACTAAAAAGAAAACATGATCAATAATGGACAAATACTCAGATTTTGGTTCATTTTTTAATTTTGTTAAACTCACCTATCTAGTCCAATTTAATAAGTAAGTTTAAGTTAAATTAATAAATTAAATAATTTTTTAAAATTGCGTTAGGGGACATAGTTTTCTTGGTCAATTGAATTGGACTAGGTTGAGTTGAGTCAAAATTAAATTTGGTTCAATAATTTTAAATTTAATTTAAATTTTTGAGGAGTGCAGAGGGAGTACAGTGAACTTAATCATTCATTTAATTTGACCTATTTTGATATTCTTAATCTTAGTCCATACTTAATTACACATTAGTTTAAATAATAATTGCTTAAAAATAATTGAATCTATATATATATATATATATATATATATAAAGTCAAACCACATACATCCTTAATTCCCTTACTCATTTGACCACATATCTTGTTAGATTTTACTTAAACTACCAATTTGGTCACGTTAAGAATGGTTTTTGTAATAATAAAAAAATATTTTAATATAATAGTTATGGAAAAATGATTTTTTTAATAACTTGTAATATTTTTTGAGATTATACTATACATAGCATTTCAAAGTTTCTAACTTTTCAACTAGTATTGCAAAGAGAAGACAAATAAAATAATAAAAGGGTAGTTGTCACAAAATGTATTTTAAAAATTATTTAAATTTGAGTAAATAGATAAAAGTATTAACATCTTAAATTAACAGATAAAACTTGAATTAATTGTATAAATATATAATATATTTAAACATAATTATTTTTAGGATTGTCAAAATGTTACGATTAAAGTGACCTTGAAAAACATAAAATATTAAAAAAAATATAACTACTAAATTAAACTTACTTTTAATTTAAAAAATATATTTTAAATGACATAAAAGTTATTAAATTAGAGTATTATTTAAAAATTAATAGAATTAATGAGTTGATATAATTAAATTGAGTTTAATTTTGATGTATTGTAAGTATTAGCAATTTTAATTAATTAAAATATATAATAAATATAAATTTTATGTTAATTAACAAAAAAATTAACAATTTTTTGTATTATGATATTTTATGATTGAGTAATAGCATAAATAACAAATTAATTGACTTTTTTTTTACATGTTAAAAGTATAATTTATATAACAAAGTACTCCCTCTATTTATAATAATTTTAAAATATATAATTATCAAAATTTATAATAAATATTTTGAAATAAATTAAAATATAAAATATATAATTATTAAATTTTAAACTGTAGCCTAATACTTACAAATATTATAGACTGTTATTTTATATTTAATTTAATTGGTTAATTCATTATATTTTATTTTGTAGTATAAATAATTTTATTAAATTTAAAATGAATCATATAATGTATCCTTATTTTTTTATTTAAAATATAAATTTAATTTAATAATACGTGTTTAATATAATAAAACTCATTAATGTGTGTATTAAAAATTATGTCGAAATACATTAAAAATAGAAAAATGAATTTTTTTTAATATAACATTAGTTAACATTTTATTTATATTTATACAGTCTATAATAATAACAATAATAATAATAATATATTGTTATTATTATAGATATTTAATTGTTTCCGTTGGTCACTCCCTCAAGTCACTCAATTTGACTCATTTATCTTTCTCTCACTCACTCGCATCACATTCACACCAACAACTGATTGAACCCTAAACACAAACAGAGACACACACACACACACACACACAAACAGTGTATGATATCGATTGTTCTCAGGTTATGGCTTCCGACAGCGCTTCAAGGTCGAGTTCTGCGGCTGATTCCTACATTGGGTGTTTGATCAGTTTAACCTCAAAGAGTGAGATCAGATACGAAGGCATTCTCTACAACATCAACACCGACGAGTCCAGTATTGGCCTCAGAAACGGTAATCTCTTACTCTCTCTATCAGATCTTTTAAACCCAACATCAAAATTTCATCTTTTTCTATACTGTTAGGGTTGCTTATATGTGGCTTCAACTTAATTGTGTTTTTGGTAGTTTGCAAGTTTTGTGATGCACTTGTCTGGCTTGTAGGTTTTTGGGTTGTGGTTCTTTCGTTGTTGAATGTGATTTTTGCTGGCAGATGGATGGAATTATTTTGATTATGAGTTTGTGATTTGCTAACTCTTTCCCTGTTTGGTTTTTTGGTGCTTGCTTGAATGACTATCTGATGCTGGGTGGGGAATTGAGCTTTGACCTTTGGGTAAGAAAAGAATTGTTTTGGGGTATCCTGTTGCCGGATTTTTTTCGATAACTTCGGAGTTTCATCTTTTCATCTTTTAGCATATATGCGGCCTTGAATGCAAATTTGAATATGATATCATGTTATGTGCGGACCACGCAGAAAGCTTTTTAATAATCTGTCTGGATTTTAGGTTTCTGAAGTGTGATTTTTCATTGTTGGTCTTTGTCACCTGTTGTCATTGGTGATTAGGGTTTTGATTTCTGAGTTTGTTGTTTGCTCTCTCCTTTTGTGCTCTCGCTATGTGAGTGATTCCTTATGTGACTCTTTGGAGGGTGAGCCTTGGCATGACATAAAGGTTGCAGTTTTGTTATCTAGCATTCGTGGGTTTAATCTCTAAAGTTCCATTCATGGGGGTATGGAAGTGTAAATATGACCATTCTGACAACTGTGGGGCCCTTGCGGTCGAGACATCCTGTCCTATCAGTTTTTTTGTCGCATCCCCATTGTCTAAGAGAATTGTTGCAATCATCTGAAAGTTTAATCTAACTGTTCTTTTGGATGAAGTGAACATAATGGTGGAATGTAAATGATCGGGTAACCATTAAAGAATGAAAACTATGCAGATTTTTTTCCTCTATTGGATTATTATTAACCATCAAGAAAGAATAATCATTGTCAATCCTAGTTTTTTAAAAGTGTGATACATATAATGTGGAACACAAAGGAAAAGCGATTTTGTAGTATTTTTACTAAAAGGGTGGCCCATGGCGCCTAGTGCACAAGTCTCCCACCATTGTGGGGGTTAAGGAAGCATTAGATGTATGCAGCCTTTATCCATGAAATGAGAGGCTGTTGTTGCGATAGAACATGTGAGTACCAGGTCTCAAGTAGGGTTGTTCATAACTGAACCAAACTGATCTAAACCTAGCAAACCAAATCCGTTTATTTGCTTTTCTTTTCATTAAATTCAATGAGTTCAGTTTTGTTTTCATTTATGAAACTGAAACCTAACTGAACTCATTTTATATTAATATATTTTAATTTGATCTTTCTATAGAAATATTTAGGCCATTTTTTTGTTTATATCTATTTGATATTGTTTCTATTAAAAATTATGTATATTGTTTGGGTGGGTCAAACTGCTGTCCAATGACTATTAGCTTCCAAATTTGCAAGGGGATTGAGATTTTTTCCTCATGATATGGATTGTTTCAGCTTTATTCTATTAACTTGTTTGCATTATTCTTGCTGCCAAACAACTTTGTATGTTGCTGTTTACTATCACTAGCTGGCCTAGTGGAGTGATGCTTGTGTTTTTTTGTTTCTGGGGCAGTGCGATCTTTTGGAACTGAAGGAAGGAAAAAGGATGGTCCACAAATTCCTCCAGGTGACAAGGTGTATGAATATATACTGTTCCGTGGGACTGACATCAAGGTATCACAAATGGAACATATACAAACACTTTTTTGAAAATAGCTAAAGTTTGCTTTGGAATGATGTGTAATTTCTATAGTATTCTTCCTTTTTTGTGACTACTCAGTCCTGAAATATTGCAATAATGAGTCATTTATGCATATTTTCTGGCATTCATCTCTTCCCCGTTTTATGGAAGGCCTGTTTATAGTATTTACTTCAAATCATGTCTGATATCATTAGATATGGAGGCAGGAAGAAAGAAGCTGATCCAGAATATCATTTACTCCTTTATAAGGATATTATTATTACACTACACTTGCTGTATTTAAATGTTACTGTTTGAGGGCTTTGGGTGATTACATGCTGTTCATATTGATCAGATCAGCTGAAACATATTTTAAAATTCTTTCTGCAGGATTTACAGGTTAAATCTTCTCCACCTGTCCAGCCCATTCCACCAATTAACACTGACCCAGCTATCATTCAGGTTGAAGAGCAACTTTTTGAGTGCATAATGTATCAAATTACATTAATCAGATCCTAATATGTGTTTGCCTTGCAGTCTCAGTATCCTCGCCCTGTCACTACATCTGCAAGTTTACCAGCTGTAAGTGGGTCTTTGACTGATCTTAGTTCTCATGCCCCTCAGCTTGGACATCCTGGGTCTAATTTTCAAGGCCCTGTGCCTTTATATCAACCTGGAGGGAACATGGGATCTTGGGGAGCTTCTTCACCTGCCCCAAATGCAAATGGTGCTGGTCTTGCTATGCCAATGTATTGGCAAGGATATTATGGTGCTCCAAATGGGCTTCCTCATTTGCACCAGCAATCTTTGCTGCGACCACCACCTGGCTTATCAATGCCTTCATCTATGCAGCAGCCAATGCAGTTTCCCAATTTTAGTCCCTCTTTACCAACTGGACCTTCAAATTTGCCAGAGTTCCCATCAGCTTTACTTCCTGTGGTTACTAGTTCTGCTAGTCTAACGTCAACTTCTATGCCCCCATCAAATCTTTCATCAACTTTACCTCCAGCACCTTCTGCCACACTAGCTCCTGAAACTTTGCAAGTATCAGTTCCAAACATGGCATCAACTGGTTCACTTCCGGTAGTCACACTAGATACTAATTTACCATCACTAACTCCTTATACCACTAGTGGGTCAGATATCAGTGCTGTAGCGCCTCTGGTCAACAAACCTAATGTAATTTCAGGTTCAAGCTTGCCATTCCAAACACTATCGCAGATGACTCCTGCAATTGTTGGATCTTCTAATGCTATCCGTGCAGAAACACCAGTCCTTTCTCTGATAACCCCAGGTCAATTATTGCAATCTGGACCCACTGTAGTATCTACATCTCAGCCTTCACAAACACCTCATAAGGATGTTGAAGTGGTTCAGGTATCATCAACATCACCTCCAGAACCATCTGTGCCGGTTTCTTCAGAAACTCAGCCACCAATATTGCCATTGCCAGTAACTTCACGGCCTAGCTACAAGGTAATCTTCCTTTGCTCTCTCTCACCCCCACCCAATACATACATGTACACAAGCAGTGGTTTTGGTTTTACATGTGCTTGTATGTTTGTATATAATTAGTTCATTGGAGAGTGGAATGTGTAAATAGAGTGGATTATATTCTCAAAATCTTTCATCATCGTCTATTAGAAATTTGGAATACCACAGGCTGGTGCTGCTGAACATCCTATAAGCTAAACCTTGATAAATCAAGAATTTTTGGGAAGATGTGCTGAGTTTTAGATAACCTTCATGTTCATGTTTTTTCCACTGCATCACTGACTCACTGTCTGTTCTTTTGAAGAGGTTTAAAAATAGGATTTGGCCTGATTGATCTATAATTTAATTGGTGAATTGCCATACATGAATTATGAAGATTGATGAGATATTGAGCCTTCTTTCAAATATTCAATTTGTTTTTGTTCTTATGTATATCAAACAAGTTTAGCTATTCATGCATAGACCACAAGTATTGTATATCTTGTCATATTAACTTGTTTTTTTATTGTCTTTTTGTTTTGATTGAGGATTTCTTGACATTTGGTTGCTTTTTTTTCCAGCCTGGGGGAGCTTCTGTCCAAACTCATCTTGGCTACGGTTATAGGGGACGTGGAAGAGGAAGAGGACCTGGGGTATGCTCTGTTTTCCATTTCATTTATAAGAAGCAAGGAAATTTTAGCCCCTTATACATACAGAACCTGAGAACTTTAGAATATTTTGGAATTTTTAAATTAAAGTGAGGAGTATTTTTGTTGGGTAGGGTTGTTATAGAATATCTAAAAGTTATATGCTCTCTCTCTTACCAATATGTCAAAAGAATACTTGAATGATTTCTTGTTTTGAATTATTTCTTCTTTTTTAATGGTATTGAAAGTTGAACAATTAATGCTTTGCAGGGTTTCCGTCCAGTTGAAAAATTCACTGAAGACTTTGACTTCACGGCTATGAATGAGAAGTTCAAAAAGGATGAAGTATGGGGTCATCTAGGTAAAAGCAATAAGTCTCATTCAAAAGAGAAAGAGGTGGAAGAAAATGTCAGTGATGAAGATGACAATCAAGATGAAGACAATGGTCATGTATCAAAATCGGAGTTGAAGGTAATGTTTCTACCTTGTGTGTTACTCGATGCATTCACAATGTTTGATTTCTTATGTCACAATGTATGACTGGTTTTCATGGTCTCCACAGCCTGTTTATAACAAGGATGATTTTTTCGACTCTCTCTCTTGCAACGCACTTGATCATGATTCACAACATGGAAGGATTAGATATTCTGAGCAAATTAAGATCGATACTGAGGTAATCTCCATCTAGGCTTGACCTCATTTTTGTGGACAATATTGTTCAATTAATTTGGTTGATTTGGGGTGCAGACTTTTGGTGATTTTACAAGGCACCGAGGTGGGTGGGGTGGCCGTGGTCCATGGCGTGGTGGACGTTCTCGAGGTGGCTATTATGGAAGGGGGGGATATGCCTATGGGGGAAGGGGAGGAAGGGGATGAGACATGCCCAACCGTACTTGGACGGCGGCGGTGGCAGTTAGTGTTTGGTTAAAGTCGAGGTCGTGGGGGATCAAACCAAGCTAGCAGTGTTTGGTTAAAGTCGTGGTGGTGGGGAAACAAAAGCCAAGCCACCCACCCACTAAAGCAGCGTTTCTTGAGGCTATGCCTCAATATTGTGTTTTTATCTATTTCTATTTGGCCATAGAATAAGTAGGACAGTTTTTCTTGTCATATTGCTGCCTAAAGAACCTGGTCTGGTGGCTAGATTTTATTTTAGTTGATAATATGAGGAAGGCAGAAGTTTAGACTAGTTTCTTGTTATATATTGTTTATGTATGTAACCTAGCTGCAAGTGGTCCATTTTAGTGTCGGGTTAATACTATTTTGGCGTTGTACATGCAAGTTACAGTTTTTGTTATGCAAGTTGGTCCTATCTATATATGAGCTACAGCTGGAGGAATTAAACCATGCAGTTACAGCACTAAAATCATATTATATTAGCGAGCACAGCTACAGCTGGAGGGCTTTTCAATTAAACCATCGGTTCCATACATATTCTGATCGGATAGTTGACTAATAAATTTTAACAGTAGTCTTGAAATAGTTTTCCCCATGATTGATTCGAAGGCAGCACACAACGGATTTGGATCTGGTCCATTCAGTTTTATTTTTGTTTAAGTGAAAATATAAAAAATGACAAAATTGTTTTATACAAAATTAGTTTAAGCAAATTATGTTAGCTTAAGCGAATTTTGTACAGGAAGAAGAGAGGATTAAAGGATAAATGGATGATAAGAAGAGCGGTGGTATAGGTTAGTGATAGAGGGAGAGACTGGTGGAGAGTTGAAAATGAAGTAAAGAAAAAGATATAAGTATGAGGTAAGGTGAGAATGAAAAGAATAAGAGAAGCGATGGGTATGGGGTGAAGAGAAGAGGGGGTTAATATAAGAGAAGAAAGAAGGTTGAATATGGAGATTGAGGAGAGAATATTGGATATGAAGAGAAGAATAAAAGATTAAGAAAAAAGATGCAAAATTTGTTTAAGCTAACATAATTCGTTGGAATTAATTTTGCATAAATTTTTTTTGTTATTTTCTGCATTTTTGTTTAAACAACTCGCTTAAGTAAAAATGAAACTGGATGTTCAGTTTTCGTGTTAACTGGACTGGATCCGTATATACACAATTAATTATTACAATTGCAACCAGTCTAAAGTATTACTTTACAAGTTTTAATAAATCTTAGTAGTTAAATGTATAAATCATAATTATAAATAAAAATGCTTATTAAAAAAGCAATTAATAAGACTTATATTTAATAGAAATAATATTGGTCATTTTATCCTTAAAATCATTAAGAGTGGAACTATTATTTCGTTATTTAGCTCAAATTTGCAGATACATGAGTTTTCTTGAAGTAAAAAAAGAAAAGTATTTATCTCGCAATCCTTTTAGCCTTTTCTTTTAATAAATGGACACAAATTAAGAAAGATCCCAATCTGGTTTTATTATGTACCCCGTACCATTTGATCACCTATCAAGATAAATAAGAACCAGATAAAAGTAAAAAAACCTGATGTGTGATGTGTAGCAAAGGGTAAACATTTGTAAACTCCTCCTATGTGCCAATAGCTTGATATACTCGAGTCCAGTGAGTAAATGGGTAAAAAAGCATTGAACTTCAAGCTTTACTTAATGACATATATAATCTACATCAACTTTGGCATTATTTCATTTTTTGAGGAAACACTGCCGTTGAGCTGGACCCTCTTTGCCCTGAAAACTTCTATACCCCCACAAATCAGACAAATTGCAACCCCTTGATCAAACTAAATATATTGTGGGTCCCCTCCACTAGCAAGAATCAGCACCGTTTCTATTTCGATATTATTCTGTCAAATACTACCTTTTACTTTTAATTTTTGGAAGCCTAATAATGCACTTAGAAAAAGGTTCCTGATTTATGTTATTTACAATTGTTGATGAGACTGTCTGTGAGTGTGATTAAGGCAATTAAGGGTTCTATGAATGATAAAATGTCAGTAAAAACAATATTATTCTTGTAAAGTACTGTAAATTAAGGCCTCTAATCTATATTTTAGAATATTGATATGTTAATTTTTAAAACAATTTTATTAAATGGGTCAAAAGAATGGAAAAGTCAGTGATAAGAGTAGTGGCAGTTCGGTGTGTTGCTTAGTTGTATTCTTGGTGGTTGAACGCTTGTTGGATGGAATTAAATGTAGAGTTTAATATTTAAATATTAAAGTCAATATTTTAAAGAATAAAGCTAGAGAGATTATTAAAGTTCATGCATATGAGGAGTCTCATTGCATTTATTTATTTTTCACTATAACATATACTCGACTTAATTGTAGCGTGGTGGAGAAAAAACTAGTTGGAAATGATAAAAAGATTGGTTCTTTATAAAAATAAAAGAAGAAGCAAGAAAAAGAAAAGCAATGTACACGTGGATAAATAAGCCCATTGTTAAATTAAGAGGAGCAATGGACAACGGGCAAAAACGGCCACATCAAATGAAAACAAAGGAGACAAAGACAAACCAATTCCTCTTCTTTTGCTTTTTTTTTTTTCCACATCCCACACGTACTAGGATTAACCAAAGAATCGGCTTAACCTTAAAACAAGGAAGGAAGGAACAAAAATCATTGGAGAAACTTGTCTTTGTTCTAGTTTTAATGTGGGAAATTCCTTTTCAGTCAATCTTGTTCCTCTGCTTGGGTTTAAGACTGGCTTCAAAATATTCTTGTGACCAGATCTTGGTTACATACTAGACCCACCCATTTGTGAATTTTGTCAAGAAAGTTCTTTGGGCCAAGTTTGTTCACTAGTTAGTTATTGGTAGTGGCTGCTAAGTTAGTTTCAAATTTGTGCAAGGAATTCTACTTGTTATGGTTAACTTTTTTGTGACTGAGCAGATTTGGTTTCTCTCTGAAAGGTGAAACTTTGGAAATTCCATGGACTCTGCATGTCAATGAAGTTTCCAAATCTTGGTTTTGCATAGCTCTTGTACCTGGATTTCTCTTTGGAATCTTCTGTTCTGCCCCAGTTGTGGATTCTGGGTCACTGGTTTCACTTTCAAAGTTCAAATGGAGGTCGGGGGAAATGGGTGAAGGGTGGTTCAAGAAATGGGTATAGTTTGGACATTGATGTCTCCTATAGCCTCATGATAGTCAGGTTAGGAATTCTAGTAGCTGCTTCCATTGCAGCCTATACAGTTAAGCAGCTGAATGTGAATAGCTCAATATCAGGTATTAGTTCTTTCTTGATAAATATATGTCGTTTCACTTCTCAATATGCAAAAAGTTTTCTACTTGCTTCATGTTGATGACTAATCCTGTTGAACAACTTGACCCTTTATGTTAATCTTAACTCTCATTGTGGCTTAGAAGATGGTGAAGCTAGGTTTAGAAAACATCAAGATGAGAATAAAGAACAGGAGCAGGTCCCTTGTTCTACTAATGGTCTCAATGAGAAGATTGTGAGTATATTAAAGCTGAAGTTATTATATTTTATTTTATTTCATGGTTATGATGATTTCTTTCGCATACTTGTTTGTGTTTTCTCTTCATGTGAATAGGAAAAGTGGGAACATTTATTTATCTTTGTAACATGATTTGACACTGTTGCAGAGGGAAGAGGAAGAGCAAGAAGAGGAGGTGAAGTTAATTAGCAGCATAATCAATCGAACTAATGATTTTGAAGATGATATTCCACCTGAACTTGAAAGCCTTCTATCTGGAGAGATTGAGATTTCTCCAGTTGCTGACAAGACTGATGAGGCCAAGAAAGACAGTGTTTATGAAATTGAAATGGAAAACAATGCTAGGGAAATGGAACGGTTGCGGAATGTAGTGACAGAGTTGGAGGAGAGGGAATTGAAACTTGAAGGCGAATTGCTTGAGTACTATGGTTTGAAGGAGCAGGAATCAGACATTCTGGAGTTGCACAGGCAGTTGAAAGTTAAGGATGTGGAAATAGATATGCTCAATATGACCATTAATTCCTTGCAGGAAGAGAGGAAGAAGTTTCAAGAAGAGCTTGCACATGCAGCTACAGCCAAGAGAGAACTTGATGTTGCCAAAAGCAAGATCAAGGAATTGAAAAGGCAGATACAGCTTGAGGCTAACCAGGCAAAAGCCCAGTTGTTGTTGCTTAAACAAAAAGTTGCTGGTTTACTAGCAAAAGAAGAAGAGGCTGTCAAGAGAGATGCTGAAATTGAGAAGAAATTCAAAGCTGTGAATGACTTGGAGGTTGAAGTTGTGGAGCTTAAGAGAAAAAACAAAGAACTTCAACATGAGAAGCGAGAACTAACTGTTAAACGCAATGCAGCTGAATCTAGGATCATGGAACTCTCTAATGTGACAGAGGTCAGAGTCCTAAAGTAGAAATATTTTCCTTTGATGAAATGAACATATTCACATTTAAGAATTGTTCATTGTTGAACCAGCGCAGTCTTTGAAATTTTCAATTACCTAAAATGAATTTTAAAAGAATAATTTAACGTCTCTTAGTCATCCTTGCTGAACTTGTCAGTCATTTGAATATTACCATATCAGTAATTAAGAAATGATAGTTAAATTCCAATGGTGAATTAGACATTAAACCTAAATGGTGTTTATATAAACATAAAACAAACTGAATCTAAATGGTTTTTCTTTCTTTTTAATTATTACCCATCTCTTCTTTCTGCAGTTTTTTGGACCGTGTTGATCTATGGTATGTATACTGGTTAATGAGGACCTAACAAATTATAACTAAATTTTTTTCAAGATCTGCACAAATATTAATTATTCGATCAATTGGAAGATTAATTGAAAGAAAATGTCAAAAAGGGTTGTATACATCTTTCATGATAGTAATAAATTTATTTGATTTATATCTTTTACATGTAATGAATATAATTTAATTTTGAGATGCTTTTACTTGAACTGCAGAATGAAATGGTTGTTAAGGCAAAAGAGGAGGTCAGTTGCTTGAGGCATGTGAACGAAGACCTGATAAAGCAAGTGGAAGGACTCCAGATGAATAGGTTCAGTGAAGTTGAAGAGCTTGTATACCTTCGTTGGGTCAATGCATGCTTAAGATATGAACTCAGGAATTACCAGGTACCTCAAGGAAAATTATCAGCCTGTGATCTAAACACAAGTCTCAGCCCAAAATCACAGGAGAAGGCTAAGCAGCTTTTGTTAGAATATGCTGGTTCAGAGTGTGGGGAAGGTGACACAGAACCTGATAGCAGCTTCTCTCATCCCTCTTCACCAGGCAGTGAAGAGTTTGACAATGCTTCTATTGATAGCTCTACTAGTAAACACAGTAGTCTTGGCAAGAAAGTTAGCTTGATCCAAAAGTTGAAGAAATGGGGTAAAAGCAAAGACGATTCTAATGCTTTTTCAACACCAGCCAGATTTCTTTCAGGCGACTCCCCTAGCAGGATGAGTACGAGAAATAGAACTAAGGGTCCATTGGAATCCTTGATGCTAAGGAATGCTGCTGATACTGTAGCCATCACTACACTTGGACAGAAAGATCAGGAACCTACTGGTTCTCTTGAAACTCTTGCTCTTCCTAACATAAGAAGAGTTTCATCCAGTGACTCCTTAAATTCTGTTGCAACTTCATTCCAATTGATGTCTAAGACAGTTGTTGGGTCTCTGGATGAAAAATATCCTGCATATAACGACCGCCATATATTGGCCTTAGCAAGGGAGAAACATATTAAGGAAAAGGCTGAGAAAGCAAGAACACAGAAGTTTGGGGACAATTCAAATTTGAATGTGACCAAGGCTGAAAGAGAGAGGCCAATATCTTTGCCACCAAAACTTACTCAAATAAATGAGAGGGCATATGTTTCTGGTAGTCCAAATGATTATTCTGACAATGCTAAGAGTGTCAATAATCAAATCATTAGCAAGATGAAGCTTGCCCCCATAGAGAAAAGGCCTCCTAGGGTGCCCCAGCCACCTCCTAAACCATCTGATGATGCTCATATTAGTACAGATTCAAACCCTTCTAATGGAGTACCTTATGCTCCATTTGTGCCTTCACCTCCAGCACCACCAGGTGCACCACCTCCACCTCCACCTCCACAAGGAAGTCTATCAAGAGGAGCATTAGCTGGTGACAAAGTTCACCGCGCTCCGGATTTAGTTGAATTTTATCAAACATTAATGAAACGGGAGGCAAAGAAAGACACTTTATCATTAACTTTTTCAACAACTAATGCTTCTGATGCCAGGAGCAACATGATTGGGGAAATTGAGAATAGATCATCATTCCTCTTAGCTGTGCGTTAAAATTTTCCCCCACTTTGTTTTTTCTTTTTTCTCATTCTGGCATTTCAGTCATGACAAATTTTAGATTTTTTTTTTAATGGATCCAGGTGAAAGCTGATGTAGAAACACAGGGTGATTTTGTAACATCCTTGGCAAGTGAAGTTCGAGCAGCTTCCTTCTCTAAGATTGAAGATCTAGTGGCCTTTGTGAACTGGCTAGATGAAGAACTTTCCTTCTTGGTAAATCTTTTTAAGTGTCATTGCTCCTCCATCATTGAAAAACAAGCTTCTAAAACCAAATTCATGCAAATTGTAGATCTTGTGAATTGTGATAAGGCATGGAAGTAGATCCTTTGTGCTGTTTTTCCCAATAAATTTGCATTCCAATTTATTCAAAATTAGGTCATTCAATTTTGACCTCACTTTCTTAGTTATATATATGTATACAGACACATACATACATACCTTTGCAACTCTGTATCCAATGACTTCTGCACTTTATGTAAGGTTGATGAACGAGCTGTTCTCAAGCACTTTGATTGGCCTGAAGGAAAAGCAGATGCACTGAGGGAGGCAGCTTTTGAATATCAAGATTTGATGAAATTGGAGAAGCAAGTCTCCACCTTCACTGATGATCCCAAACTCCCATGTGAAGCCGCTTTGCAGAAAATGTACTCATTGCTTGAAAAGTAAGCATCCTTTTTTGGTTTTAGTTTAATGTATCCCCAGCACTAGATTAGTATATCAATACTTGGTGGATATTTTCTCGAGAACTCAATGTAGAATGAATTTTACTCATAACTGAATATAAATTATTTTCTGACATCTACTTTAATGCTGTAGATTCATACTCTGCAAGTCACAGATAGAACTTGACATATACTTGTTTAGTTTGATGTTTCTTGGTGTGTTTCTTGCTATTCTCTACAGTTATAGCATGAGATTTATTTATCAACTCATCTCTTCCATATTTTTCTGTTTTTATTTCCAGAATGGAACAAAGTGTATATGCACTCTTACGGACTAGAGATATGGCTATTTCACGGTATAAAGAGTTTGGAATACCAGTAAATTGGATTTTAGATTCTGGGGTCGTGGGCAAGGTGTGCTTCTAAACTTCCAGAAACAATTTATGTTCTAGTTCACACAAAGGACTTGTTCATTCAAGTTGTTTTCTTTCTATACCTGTTGAACTTGCAAGTTTTCATATTTGGCTACAATTACCAGTAATATATTCCAATTATTTGGACTAGTTGATCCCCCAGGCCCCACTTTCCTACAATGATTTAAATCATTCTTTTAAAAAGCATAAGCTTTCTCAGTATGATATTTTGCTCCACCTGTGTTTTTTCTTTGTACTTTACCTTTTATCTGCCCTAAATTTATGCACTTTTCTCCAGAACACCTCAAAAAAGCCTATATTTGATATTTCCATTGAAAATAAAATTATGCACAATAGCAGCCAATTTAATAATATTAATTAGTTGTTCTTGTTCATATACTGTAATAGACATGCATACATTGAAAGTAAAGGGATTGGATGGAGATGGATAAGTAGGGAGAAAAGAAAGAATTTAGTAAACTGATAGAACTCTGAGCAAATGTTATGTTTTTATGATATAAAAGATTATGGATTACTTTCATTGATACTAATATTCCTAGTCAAGTGCAAGTGTATTTCATTAAGCGCAATTCAAACCCAATAACTCTTTCCTTCATACTATCAGCTAGTTACAAGTAATTATATTACAAGCAAACAAAAAAAATTAATGAAAGTATAATATTTTCCATTCCTCAAACCAGACTTTTAAAAACAAGGGTGATACAGCTACTACAAACTAGTCCATTACAAAAATTCTACTGACTTTATTAAATAAAAGCCTTCATTTTTCATGTTAGCTGATAATTTGATACTAGATACTGGTTTGTATTAAATTTTTGGAACCTTTTAAAAACCGTTATATTAAGGTCGCATATAGGTGGATCCACTATCCTTTTCAAGAGATTTCCAATTCAAAATAAAACAAGAGCATGCCTTGGATTGATGTTATGACTGATGCCTGCTTCTGTTTGATGCTATAAAAAACGGTCACTTAGTATTTACTACTGGTAACTCTCCCATTGCAGATCAAGCTTTCTTCTGTGCAGCTGGCGAAGAAGTATATGAAACATGTTGCATCTGAACTTGATATATTATGTGGACCTGAGAAGGAACCGGCAAGAGAGTTTTTGATTCTGCAAGGTGTGCGTTTTGCTTTTCGTGTTCATCAGGTAATTCTAAGGCTCTTGGTTTACTTGCTTGTGTTGATGATGCATAATATCATTCCTGCATTCTTTATAAATGCAAAATGATTTTGCATAGACAAACTGGGCTAGCTAAGGTGTAACAAAGTATTCTAATCTGGTTCCAACTCCTTTCTGTTGCTGAGAAAAGCTATTTATCTTTAAAACCTGACAAAATTTCTTGCTCTTTTAACATTTAATGTGCTTTGTTGTTTTATTTAAATTACATTTTTAATGCTATAGCTAACCTGAGAATTTTTTCTTGGACTTGTCTTGGCTGAAAACACTGTAATGTGAATAATTTCAAACAAAAGAATTGTAAATTAAATAGTGGCATGGAACTCTTTTCAGTTTGCAGGAGGCTTTGATAAAGAGAGCATGAAGGCTTTTGAAGAACTAAGGAGCCACATTCATTCTCAAGCAGGTGAAGATAATACACCTGAAACGTAGATGATCATCAAAAGAATTTTTTTCTTCTTTCTAATTTTTTTACACTAGTAGTTGCTTCTAACATATGTTACCTTTCTCAGCTGAATGTGTCATTCTTCTGGTTCAATTTTCATTGAATGTACATATGCTTACTGAATGTAACACATAATTAAAAAATAATCATACTTGTTCGGTTTTCGCTAGAGCTAGAAATGAGATTCAATTCAACTGAAATATTTTGCTCATAAGTCAACAGTTAGTGCCAACCCTGCATATGCATTTAAACAGATAACAAAGCACAAATGAATATTACCTAAATTGGCATAAACAGATAACTAAATGTAAATTATGTTAAAAAAGAAGTTATTAGCATTTCTGGAATTTCCTTTTGGTTTGGACACCCAAACTCAAACACCATTTGTGATTTTCACTTCTTTAGTTCAACTTTCCCTTCCTCGTCTTTCTCATTGGTAACATTCACACAGACCCTAGCCACCATTGTTTTCTGTTCTCCAAAACCTTTATTTTGTTGGATACATGAAAGTGTGATCTTCAACTTACATTTGCCATCAAATACCATTTCTTGTTTCCATCTCAGTCACGCGCGGCTCAATTGAACAATCGTTGTATGTTTAATTTCAAGTTCTATTTTCTCATGAAAATGTTAGTTATTAGCGTTACTTATCACTCCATCTATCTCATATTGGATGTAACTTGAATATTTTTTATGCCTTAAATTATTTATCAATTCAGAATATTAAGAAAACATTATTTTTTAATAGTACCTTTATTTATTTGAGATACTTTTTTTATAAAATGACTAAAATTAGTTATCACTAAACTAATGTAAGAATTTTATTAGGGTTAATTTAGTAAAATTAAATTATTTTACTGTATTAATTGGTAAAGCTAATCATTGTATTGAAATGTGTACACGAGAGAGTATTTATCAAATTTTTAATAGACTAATTCTTAGATGTGGAGTTGTTACATGAATCAATTTTAACTAATTTAGCTTTAACTCATTATATGAAAAATTTAGAGTTAAAAAACTTGTAGGGTTAAGTGAGCTTTGGTTAACCTTTAAACAAACTTTATTTATTTATTTATTTATTTTAGCTCACTTTTTGATAAAATGATCCTTTACTATCTTACAGAATAATTCATTTAAAATATTTATTTTATATAACATATTTTCTATTATAAACTGATAAACAAATAAATTACTTAAAATAAATAAATTAATTAAATTTATAAATTAAATATTTTCAACAAATTATTTTTATTAAATAAAATATAATAATTTATTATCAAATTAAGTTATATATTTTTTATTTTTACTTGTATTATTGATATTTATTAAATTATAAAAAATTTCATTTATATAAGCTTATGAATATTTTTTTTCAGCATATTATTTTATAATGTTATTCAAATATTAACCATAAAAAATCTTATGTTACAATATTTTTATATTATTATTTTTAAATTTATTTTTATAAAATTATAAAAATATTAAAAACTTTTTTCTTTTTAAATCATATTTAGTTTGTGTAGTAACATCACATGTTCAATAAATATGTTAACTTTTGACACCTTATTTCCTAGCTAATCAATCACAAACATTCACATTATAATGTACCAAAGAAACTTACTTTACATTGTATTCATAAATAAAATAATAATAATAATAATAATAATAATAATAATAATTATTATTATTATTATTATTATTATTATTATTATGTGCACGTGTAAAAAATTAAAAATTATAATTTTATACATTTTTTTACTAAAAACAAGGATATAATAATTATTAATTATTCTCTAAAAAAATATGAACTAACTCACATTTAATCTTGATCTAACCCACATTTTTATTATATATTAAGATTTAGAAATAAAATTATTAATAAAAGAGTTTACAAGAAATAAAATTGTATAATGAATTAAGTAAAATTATAACTCATATTAACAGCTCTACTTAAATATCATTATTAAAATGTATTAAATATAAAAAGAAAAAAAATTATCTATTGTTTTTTAAGTATTATTTACATTGTTTATCAATTAAAATTAAAGGTTTATTTTAATAAAATATTTATATTTAATGTTATAAATTATTGAAGTAAAACTTCAATTTTAATTGTAGAATAATTCTAAAAACACTTATGCTATTTTACTTAAGTTTTGTCTTATAAGAAAAATGATTATTTCAGCATAGCATGTAAGCTTATTGAATTAAAGTTATTTAGTGAATTTAGCTACAGAATTAGTTAAAATATATTAAATAACTAAAGTTATCTTGTGTAAGTGAAAATTAATTAAAATTTAATAATAAAAATATTAATAATTAAATTTTAAATATTAAAAATTATTTAAATTATTTTTTTATAAATTAACATTTAAATATTACAAGTTCCAATAAAACTTATTTAATGGAGATTGCATACCCTGTAACTTATTCATTAGATAATATATAAATTATTTTATCATCAACTAATGCATACTTATAAATTAGATAATAATAATTACTAAATACATAAATTAATTAGTAAATATTATTCGAACTTATCATGTGTGTGTGTATTATTGAAGATAAATATTAGTAAAGTGTTGAATTAATTGTGCGTTGAATCGGTTTCAAGTTTCAACGTAAACATGAAATAAAATAGAATAAAAAATTCCCTAATCTTCGTTTGAAGATGAAATTAATGAATATAGTTTTTGCTAAAAAGGAATTTCTTCTCGTAATAACATTTCTTTACAATTTTTTTAAAACCAACACATTCGGGTAAATTATTGTTTCATTTAAATATTTAAAATATTACCAACATTCTATCTTATTTTTTCTTCTAGTTTATTGTATCTCATTTGATTTAATAGAAAAAAGAAAATTTAATAGACAAAAACAAAATTAAAAAAAAGCTATTAATGCATCAATTTTCTAATGAATAAACTATAATATTTTAAAACTGACATTTAATTTTTAAAAGGGATTTTTTAAATTTATATTATTTTTAAACTTTATCTCTTTATTATTTTCTCTTTCTAAAATTTAACTTGCATTTTTGATACAGTAATTAACGTGCCACACTTTTCCTTTGACCTTTACCGTTTTGCATAAGAATTAAGAAAAAATATTTTAATAATATATTCTCTAACAGTCTGTTTTTAATATATTATTTATAAACTAAAATTTATTAAAAATTATAAAATTATACAAATTACTCTCTAATTTAACAAGTTTGACACGTAATTTTATATTTTTAATAAAATGTAATCAATAATAAATAATTCGAGAGTGTAATAAAAAGTATATTATTAACTCTTTTCCAAAAATAATTAATATTTTAAATTTTATAAAAATATTACTTAACTTCCTATTAGATCCATTTTTGTTAATTAATATATTTTTTATTGTTTTCTATCAAATAAGCATTAATTATTCAAAGTTAATTTGTAAATAAAACATTAATTATCCATTAATATTATAAAATGATAGTAAAAAAAACAAAATAATATTATTAAAGTGTAGGAGATATTACATATTTAAAGAGTTACATAATATATTTATGTGCAATTTTATACTTTTTCTGCATACTCACAATTTATAGTTTACATCTTAATCAAACCATTTGACTTGATTCAAGGGTCCACAATTTATAATTTACATAGGTTAGAGGTGAGTCTGGTGAGGCATTAATAGTACTCTTTCAATTTATTTATTTTTTTTAAATTTGAATAACCATTTGACTAAGTGAAGATTTTCTTTCTGAAAAGTGAAAACGTCCATTTTTGTGACAGTGTAAATAGAATCTGATGAGACAGTCAATGGAACGGTAGGATTGACCAATGGTATGACGTGTAAACATGTATCATTTCCTTGATGGGTATAAAAATTTCACACTAGGACTTTCTTACATTAATTCTTTATTTTACCTGAGAAAAAAATAGATAGAATAAAAAAATTGAATAGAAAGCAAGTAAAGAGAAAATAAGGATATTTTAAAGTTATTTAATATTAAAAAATGGAAGAAAAAGGAAAATTGTTGAACAAATTAGTGGAATTGACAAAAACACAGTTTTTTCTCAATTTCCAGCAAAATGGTTGAGATTAAGGAAGTTGTGGATCTCATGCATATTCCAAACAAAGCCAAATAGAGAAATCACTTGAAGAGTATTATACATAAAACAGAGCCTTTTTTATTTATATTAAAACAACTCTAAATTATGATTCAGAACAAAAGATGGTAGTCCACTTGTGCTAGAGAATTTTAGTGAAACACTTGAACTACATTTCAATTTCTTCTCCTCTTTTTTGGACAAAAGTTGACCAAAGGAAAAAACTAGATCTTGGTGACCTTGGTGGCTCCAGAAGCTGATTCCCTTTACCATCATAAAAAATAACACCTGGGAATTGGAGTGGTTGGCACTTCTCACCCATCAATATGGTCTTCTTCCACAAACATTTGTCATCCTCTTTCTTCTTTGTTTTCATGCTTTGAATTACCTTGCTGATTTTCCTTATGATTTTGTTTGAGGTTGGTGACAACTCCTCTCTTTGCTGCTTTGGTTTGATGCACATATATGGGATGGTAGCTTTGCTGATTTTCTTTATAATCCTTTTTGGGGTGTGAAGTGACAAATTGGGAACATTTGTGTTTTGATTAGAGGCAGCTTGGCTATGTTCCGACACACTGCCATCATATTCATGCTTTGCACAAACTGGTACGATGCAAGTGACATGGATGAAAATTGCTTTGGATGTGCCCAAATGGTTGCTGAAACAACTTAGACCATTCATCTGTTTCAGATGAAATCCAAAAGCTTTTAGAAATCAGTAAAATGGGAGTGATGTTGTGAACTGAACAGTATTTATATACACAAGTTGGGTTTATATGGTAGTGGTTGGAGACTATGTGACAGTTGTTAGTGGAAAAAGGAAAGTTAATATAGTTTTACTTTCTCATGTTAGACAAATTTTTACATTTAAAATTATTAAACAGTGTCAAAAAATGATTAAATATATATTTTTAAAATAAAATATATTTATGTCAAAATTTTATGACTATCTCTTTCATAATAAATGTCATTTTGAATCAAGATAATAATGAAACACAGTTTGAATATGACTAGCATATAGATTAAAAAATAATAAAAATAAACAATGTTTATTAAAGTTTTTTTTTTTT